CCCCCCCCCCCACACACACACACACACACCCACACACACCCTCCCCTCCACACACACACACCTGAATTGTGGGGGATTTTCTCCCTGATTGTGTTTTTTTAATTTGGTGCGGCTGTGTGTGCCTTCACCCGCACAGCTGCATCATCTTTTGACGGGACGTGTGGATGGTGAAACTATACATCCCTCTAGCCACCACGACAGAGGGACTTGTAGTTCTCCATGGAATACAAGTGCAGTAATTTCACCACACTTGTAGTCCAATGACAACTCTTCCCGTCTAAGTTCCTGACTATCTGTACCGAGTAATTGACATGGACAGGAGGGGAGAATCTGCAAGAGGCAGAGCATTGCACCCGTGATCCGCATTGCAGTAGCAGTGCTTTACTGTCTCCAAACAATACAGACTGACACGCGCACACGCTAACACATTGGACTGGGTGGACCTGTGTCTTTTTCCACCCCTTCTTGCTATGCAAGGTGTAGCAGTACCAAAGACTGCAACACACAAAACACTGTCAGCTTTGACCATTATACCTGTTTGGGTCGAGGTTTTTCATATTGTTTTCAGGTCTGTTATTAAGCGTGACTATATTTTTAGGGCCTGCCTGTTGACATTCGTCATTTTAATCCAAAACTGTCCATTGTTTTATTTTTCCTACCCTCTAGTGCCAGATACATTTGACAGGCCATAAGTTTTATGGGGGGGGGCGGTGAACCCACTAGAAAAGATTGTTTTGTTACGGTGGTAATTTCTGTTGAGCTGAAGCCAGCAATATCCTACTTAATCTTTTTGAGTTGAGCCCTTCAGTACAGGACTCGCAGTTCCCTTTTACAGGAAAGAGGCTGGCACTTGTAGGAAACCTAAACAATCGCAGGTGTTTCTCCGCTGGCTGTACTTCTTAATCTCGTGCCCTGTATTAGATCTCTAGGAAAAACATCCTTAGCAGAGCTCATCGAATGAGCATTCCTGATACATGGCTCATCCTAAGAACACAAGCTTTCCATGCTTCCAGCTTTCACAGTAATTGCATCAAATCTGCATACATTAAAGTGTATATTTTGGGGGGTTTAGGACAGTACATTTAGCATTTCTTTTAGCTTCCTATAGCTATTTGTCTTTGCTGGTGAAATTCACTCTTTGTTCTGGTGACCAGAAAGTGAGAGGAATTCTTATACGGTATGTTCCAGTTATCACTGCAACAGGAAAAGAGGAGACTTTTTTGTATCGGCTGTCTCTGGGGGAATGTTCCTTGCGTTGGAAACTTTTTTTTTTTGCCTCAATTCTTGTTGTGTATCTGTGACAGAAAGTGAGTGGAAATCTCCATAATAGCCGAGACGGCCAAGAAAAACCAAAACACCTTACATAACATAACATTAATAAACATTTTGTGCCTGTAAATTACACGGAGTGTGGGAGAGTATAATATAGGTTTTCTACAGTTTTGTATAGTGCTGACAAATTCCACATCTCTTTTATACTGTCTGTACATGCTGTTATTCACTAAGCTCCTACCCCAGAGAGTTTACGAGAGCCAATGAAGCATGCCTGTTATATAAGAGTTTAGGCAAAATCTAGTTAACCTACCTGTAAGCTTTTTCTTCATTTGTGGTGGAACCAGAAGAACTGAATACAATTTATGTAGCGCAGCCTTTCTCAACCAGGGTTCCTCCAGAGCAAGGGTAGCCAAACTCTGGCCCTCCAGCTGTGGCGGAACTACAAATCCAATGAGGCATTGCAATATTCTTACAGCCACAGACATGACTCCCGGAGAGATATGCATCTTAAATGTAAGGATCACTCTTCCCACTGACCACCGATGTAAGGATTACTCCTTCAGTGACCACCAAGTTAGGATCACTCTTCCGACAGGATGTGTAATGCACGCAGTGCAGCGGTCATTGGTTCATAATGCACAGAGTGCAGGGGTGAGGAGTATGTAATGTTCAGAGTACCGGGGTCAGGCCTGTGTAATGCAAAGAGTGCAGGGGTCAGGGTTGTTTAACTCAGAGTGCATCGGTTTGTAACACACATGGTGCAGGGGTCAGGAGTACATAACGCAAAGAATGCCCTGTGCGATACTCTCCCCCACTTTCCCCTCTCCAAAAAAATCCCAAATTCTCCCAAAATAAAATATCCCCTCCTCCAAGTACACATGACCCCCCCCCCCCCCCCCCCTGCAGAAATCCCTCCTTCTAGCACAAATATCATTATTGCTTTCCCACCAGACATCTCCCCCTGTCCACCTGTAATTCTGTCCAGCACAAGTTCTCTCCATTGGTACTCCACGAGTTCTCTCCATTGGTTCTGCACTCTCCACTGCATCTGGGCATGTGCCCTGAGTGCCAGGTCTAGCGATGACCGCGGTGTGCAGTAACTGATTGGTTAATGTGGGTTAGTGTACATTGCACTGTTTATTACAAAAACAGTTGTAAAACATGCACGTAGGGCATTATGATGATCCAGGGCACGTCCACAGTGCTATACTTAGGCTCTCATTTCTATATGAAATATATTTATCTTTCCAGGACTGAGGTTGATCAAATAGATGGCTTTCTTGAGGATTCAGCTGTCCTTTGGGAAACCACACGCTCTGTGGATGAGTACACCAAAACATAATTGTTGTAAAAGACCTCATTGGACAGGCATTTCGAAATTAATATGGGAATGTTCTTTAAACCCCATCACTGGTATGTCGGCTTCACTTGTCTTCAACTCCCTTTTACAGACAAATAATGAGGCTTTTAACAGAGAAGGGAATTCTTCCCTCATACATTTCCACCAGTCCCCAGTGAATTAATTACAATTTCGTTGTGTACATTTACATTATGGATTGTACTTTCCCTGAGATGGAATTTTAGATCTTGCTTGTTATTGTTTTTCTTAGAGGCCAACCCAAGACTAATATTTCAATTTAGCAAATTAATAAATTGAGTTTTCATTGCTGTAGTCACAGGCTTTACAATGGCGTGCACACAGATGTTTCAGATGGGGAGAACATACAAGGGTGTATTGAGCTTACTTTCTCTTTCACAAGTCTAGGTCGAGTAATTGCTTCTCTTTCACAAAGATTTTATTTGGTTTTTGTCAGTTTTTCATATAAAAGATTACAAAGAGAACAGAAGTGGGGCATGCAAGCCCTGCAATAAGGCACTTAAATGGAAAACAAACAGCTACAGCATCGTGCAGAGCCCTGTAGGCCGTAGAACAGGAGCCGTGTGGCAAGTGCCAGAGTGCAATTTGGGAGTTAGAAGGAGCTATTGCAGTTCAGGTTCAGTGGGTAAGGCTCAAATTAACATGGAATGGGGCAACACGGGGGAGGGTTTATCAGGCCCGATGCCTGGGTATCGTGGGGTCGAGGTCAATGAGTTCTACAGCCCTCTACCCCGGGGCCATTAGGACGGGGGTCAAGCAGCACAAATCAGTTTAACGACAATAACAGGGGAAGCAAAGGAAGAGGACACGAAGACGGGGAAGGAGGGGAGGACCAGGTATGGGACAGAACAGAGGGGGAGTGAGACAGGGGAGGCCGGTAAACTGGGAAATGGGTTCAGGGGGAGTTGGGAAGTACAGAGCCTCTAAATGGATAGAAGGTGTGGATTGAAGGAAGGTGGTTTAGAGTAGTCAATCCAAGGTTGCCAGATCAGTAGGAAGCGATCGTGTGTGTCGGACAGGACTGCCGTCAGTTTCTCGGGGTTGGAGTTTTCCACGCTCTGGCGATTGTCATTTTGGTGGCGACAAAAATGTGGGACACAAGGTGCTTCTGGTAACGCGTCAGCTGCGGAATTTGTTGGAGTAACAATGCCTCGCACGGATCCTTTGTCAAGGTGAGTTGGAAGAGGGAATTGAGTAACTCGTAGACACGATTCCAGAGGTGTGCCGCCCGGTGGCATGTCCACCAAATGTGGATCATGGTACCCGATGCGCCACAGCCCCGGAAGCAGTGTGGGGAGTAGGAGGGGATATATTTCGCCAGACGGGCCGGCGTGTAATACCAACGGTACATCACTTTGTAGGAATTCTCGAGTGGGAGTACGTTGCGGGAGCAACGCGCTATTGCTGACCAGGTATGCTGCCAGTCCTCAAGTGATAGGGTTCTGCCCAATTCCTCATGCCACTGACGCTGATAGGGAGCAAGGGTGGTAGAAGTGGAGGATAATAGAGAGGAGTAGATCAGAGAGATAACACCTGGGGCGTGTGGGTCTGAGTTACAGCAATGTTCGGATAGGGTCATTCTCGAGGGAGCTGAGGTGTTTTTCAGGAGCGAATTAATGAAATGGCTTATTTGGGTATAGCGAAACCATTCCTGGAGTGGAATGGATCTATTGGTGCGGAGTTGCTGGAACGATTTCACACCGGAGAGCGAGATGAGGGAGTGTACAGTGGTCAGGTCGTTACGGGACCACTATGCGAACGAGTGAAGATCGGTGGCGCCTGGTGGGAATAATGGAGAGTTGAGCCAGGGCAGTAGAGGGAGGTGAGGTGACATCAGGTTGCCGGAGTACCGAACTCCGTCCCAAATCTTCAGGGAGTGTCTAAGAATCGGGCTGAGATTAGTGGGCCGGTCAGTTTGGGAGAGCCACAGCAGGGACGTGAGGGGCTGGGGGTGACAGTCCACCAAGTCGAGACACGCACATAGTGGGAGTTCGG